TCCTGCTGATGCATCTCAAGGTTCTGCCTCCTCCCCAAAGGTTTCCAACAACTGTGATTCCATCTTCGTGAATGGGAAGGAAATGAAGAGCAAAGTGGACACGATCGTGAACTTCACCCACCAACACTTCACCTCCCAGTTAGAGGTCACCGTCTGGGCGCCCAGGCTCCCTCTGCAGATTGAGATCTCGGACACGGAGCTGAGCCAGATCAAAGGCTGGAGGATCCCAGTGGCCACCAACAGAAGGTGAGGGCACAGAGAGAACTGCATTTGATGCTCCTGGGGCCCAAAACTTGGTGGGATGACCAATTGACCTTCAAGGGTGCTAGCCTCGAGGAAGCCACACCCACACTGGCTAACAGCATCTGGGCTTGGGGTTCAGAGGGATCTGACTTGGGAACATTTAAAAAAATTATTTATTATTATCATTAGTTTTAATATTAAATTTAATCACATATATCTTTACAGTATATTACATTACGTTTCTCTGCACGGTTACCATGCGTATCAGTCAAGACAAAGACATTACTATCCACATCATCATCATCAAATAGCTTTTCATCAGTGTTTTCAGATTATTATTATTATTATTTATTCTCATGATTTTTTTAAACATTCAATCACTATATATCATTTGGCTTGTAAAGAGCATTTACCCAACATGAAATACTTCTCAGTATTCCAGCTGAGAATACTATGCATGTTATTATCCACAGGTAATAAACCATTTCTCTCCCCACTAAGGTCATGCCTCTCTATTCTTTTGCTCTTCTTCTCTAGCCGCTTCCCTTCCCTCCCCCCGTTCCACACTGTCTTCAGCATCCATAACTATTTTCACTGTTTTTATGCCCTCCAATATTTTGATCTCTGTGACTTGGGTACATTTTGACATGAGGAAATTATAGTGAAGATAATAATGGTAATAAGAACAGTAACTACCTCATTACGTAGTTGCTAGGATTCAGTAAAGTAAGTAATACTTGAGATATGCCTCCTGTGAGATCTGGCATTCAGGATACTGTATATTCTATCCCGTTCCACCATCGTCATTCTCAGTTCCTGCTCGTAAATGCCAGTCATCAGCCGTGAAGCATCATACATGGTTTAAGATTGTGGATGCCGGAATAAGGCTGTCTGAATTCTGCATGTAACAATGCCAATTTCCTGCTTCCAATGTTGTCCTGTTGTTACAAAGATGCTAACTTTGGGGAGCTGGGTTAAAAATGTTTTTGATTCCCTATCTTTTTTATTTTTTTTTAAATTTAAAAGAATTTGCAATTATTTCTTCTTTTTTTTTTTTTTTTAGAGGTTTTTGCTATAGGGCGCGTGCGCTCGCCAGACAGAGAGAGACAGAGAGACAGAAAGCGAGAAATCACCCCCCAGAGGGGATGGCCACGCCGCAATCCCTTTTCCTCCATTCTCCTCTCGGGATCTTGGGCATGCACGCACATGCGCCTGGCGTGAGTTTTAAGCCACCGGGTCCGGGACGCGAACCGTGGTCGACTACATGGGAGTCCAGTGACACAGTCATTATGCTAACTGCTGGTCCCTGCAATTATTTCTAAATTAAATGTGATAAAAATGAAAAATAATATTTTCCAAAATAACTGAATTGTTTTACTTAATTAATATAGCATTTCTAGTTGTATATTCACTGACAATTTTTATGATACTGCCACTTTTTAAAAAAAAGTTTGCCTGAAGACACATACACTCACCAGAGAGAGAGAAAGAGAGAGTAAGTGAGAGAGAGATAATGCACCTCTGCCATGGGGATGGCCATGCCATCTGCTCTTCTCCATCTCTCCCTCCTCTCGGGATTTTGGACATGCATGCACACGTGCCTGGTGTATTTCCCAAGCCACGGGGTCTGGGGTTTGAACTGTGCATTAGCCATGTGGGATCCAGCTACCTTAACCACCATGCCTCAGGCTGGCCCGATACCACCACTTTTTAATGAAACATGTAATATACTTAATAATCTTCTTTCAATTTTACTAATTTATTTAAGGGAAACATCACATCACTAGCACAAATGGATGACTATTATCATGGAATTAATTTAGCCTAAAAATTAATACAAAGAGAACAAAACAATGGCATTAAATTCTGAGCAGATACTGTTGTGTGTGCTCGTCTTTAGTTACAAAGGGGGACTAGCAAGCCCCAGGGAAGTATTAAAGACACCCTAGCCCTGAACAGAGACCTCACCTGTGATGTGTTCGAGGACTGAGAAAGAAAATGGGAATAACTTTTCACTGTGTCATTGCATGTGCTTTAATGCTGTATCCCTTTGCCGCCTAAAACAATCTCTTTTAACCTGTAATGCTAGTCACCCTTTGCTTTGGGAAGCCTAAACTGCTCTTTTACGGTGCTGGTGACTATTTTGCTATCAATTTCTGCCTTGATCTCAGACCTTTCAGGGAGGCCAAGGGCATCCTGTAAAGAAGGAGGGTTTCGGGCCCAGCAGGTGGCATAGCAGTTATGGTGCTGGACTTCCACGTGGCTGACCGTGGTTTGAGTCCTGGATCCAGTGGTTTGAAACTCATGCTGAGTGCATGTGTGTGCTTGCCCAAGATTCTAGGAGAAGGATGGAGGGGGATTGAGGCATGGCCATCTACCCAGGGGTGGGGGGTGATTTCTCACTTTCCATTTCCCTGTCTCTCCCTCTCCAGCTAGTACACAAGTCCTATGGCAAAAACCTTAAAGAAAATATCTTTTTAAAAATATCAAGTCAACCTCACTCTTGAGCTTCTGTGTAGATTGAGTGAGTTAAATATGTGACCTGGCATGTGCTGTGAGGTTGACAGATGTCAGAGAGCACATAGGACAGGCACATAGGGACACACTGGAGTTGCTGCCTCCTTTCCCCAACACAGCTGGCATCCACTGATGGTCACAGACCAGTCAGCAGGCATCAAACAAGGTCCTCCCCTCACAGGATACAGGGCAGGTTCTTAAGGAGGTTGCTCTGGAACTGCCGAGCCACAGAGGGCTTCCCAGGGTGCATTGTGGACAGGTGGGGTCAGCAGTGAGCTTGTGCCAGGGTAAGAGGGAGGGTGAGAGCCCTGAGGAGGGAAGGGAGAAGCCAGGACCATGCCAGGAGAGACGTATTTTGAGTGTTCTAGCAGCGAACGGGCAGCTTTGCTTGTGGAACAGTCATTTTAGATTAAGGCAGGACACTTGGAGGAAAGGTATCTTCTGGCAGCCTTTAGAGCCATGAGATTGAGGAAACTGCCTCTGTAGTGACAGAAGGAACCTTAGGCCACAAGGGGGATGAGGTCACGACCGCCCCAAGTCAATGCCCATGGCCTGTTTTTGCGGCTCCTAGAGAGCCACTCCTGGGTGTCTTCACTTGGCCTGCTCGATCCCCCTGCACACCTGTGAGGGCAGCAGGGCAGCTGTCTTTATTTCATGTCCAAGGTGAGGAGGGGTGGAGCACCTGGTGGAGGCCACCTGGAGGAGTGGAGGCAGGAATCCAAACAGCAGTTTGTTCTCAGAACCTTAGATGCCTCCACAGACCTGTCCTGTGTTATTCCTGCAAGGGAACTAGTCTTAAAATCACCAGTTTCCAGCACATAGAGGCCAGAGACTCCACCTCTGCCTGCCTGGAGCCTGAGTCTCCTGTGGCTCTGGTGGGAGGAGGGCAGGGGCCACACCTGCCATTGGTGTGAAGCGGCCGTGACTCACCGTAATCACCAAGAAGTACTTGCTGAATAATCAAACCAAGGGTGATCAGTCAGGTATGAGATGCCCTTCCCACTCCGTCTAACTGGCCTGTCCAGTGATGCTAGCCAACCACACAGTGGTCACTATTGCTCTGAAATCCACTTCTAACTGCCCACCGGACGGAAGTGAGCAGGAGAAGATGAGCACCATTTCCTCAAAGTCTTACCACAGTTCTACCATTTCCAAATCCTAAATACGATTTGTTGGGAAGATGTTACTTTTTGAGTGCTTAGTGATGGGAGAGCAGATCTGGCAGGAGAAAACCTACTACATTTCACTCTGTCCAGTCACGTAGAATTGGGAAAAATGCACGTAAAGCTTCTTCACAATGAGGAGGTTTATTCTGTTTGGGTTTGTTTGTGCTCCAGGCCTACCCGGGAGAGCGATGACGAGGAAGATGAGGAGAAGAAGGGGAGAGGATGCTCCCTGCAGTACCAGCATGCCATGGTGCGGGTCCTCACCCAGTTTGTGGCTGAGTTGCCTGACTTGGGACACCTGACCTACATGCTGGGCCCTGACTGGCAGTTTGACATCACTGACCTGGTGACTGAGTTCATGAAGGTGGAGGAGCCGAAAATTGCTCAGTTACAGGATGGGAGGACGCTGGTTGGTCGGGAGCCAGGAATCACCACTGTGCAGGTACAAGCCACCCACTCGTGCTACCTTTGCCTAGCGTCAGTCTGATTGACGCATGTCCAGGTGGATGGAGGTGTGCAGGCATGTGGAGTGTGCACACACATGTATACACAAACACATGTACACGTGCACACACATGTACATGCATAGACGTGTGTGTCAGTCACTGAGATTGTGTGTGTGAAGAAAAGAACCTTGAGAAATGGTAGAACCATTTTTAATAACCTAAACTCATGAACTTTTGGATTTCAGAGTTGAGAAAAATATATAAACCTTTTAAAATAATTTTTAACAAAAGAAAGCTAAACGAAACATTGAGTGGAGACAGTCTTCTCCAGCTGATACTCTGCTTGTCATGTATCACTAGTACAAGGTGGTAGAATCTCTGAAAGCTGGTTCTCCTCCCTTGGATTTGAAGGCTCATGTAGTCGCACTGAGCCCTCCTGCATGACTTGGGGTACTTGCCTCGTCTTAAGGCCACCGTACCACATAGCACCGTAATCATGAGAATGCTCCCTCATCATGTTCATGGCACCAGAGATTGGGGCAAGGAATATTTGGGAGGACTGTTATAAAAGTTCTGCCTTCTACATCCTCCTCTCCATCTCAGTCACCCCTGGTGCACCCTGGGTGGAAAATCAGGAAGAATATCTCCTTAGGACAGCCAGATGCCCTTCCCACTTTGTCTAACTGGTCTACCCAGTGATGATAGCAGCCCATACAGTGGTCACATCAAATCAACATCTAACTGCCCACCAGAAGGAAATGAGCAGAAGATGAGCAATTTAACCACAAAACTGCCATTTCCAAACCCTAAGTATTAATTTTTGGGAAAATGTTACTTTTGAATGTCTTCTATCAAGATGGGCAATTTTTAGTCATTGTTCCTAAATTAAATCAAGTTGTTTTCAGCAACTATGTTGTTATCATCATAGCAGGTATCAAACGGAATAAAATGGACCAATATGATCTTTATGAAACCCTTTAAGTTGTCAAGTGAGGTTGAATGATAGCATAACATTTTCCTACATAACTTCCATCCTTGTGTTCCTTTGTTGGAGAACTGGGACACTTGCTCTGTGGTGGGATGTCAGTGAAGAGGTTAGGGTGGTTACGTGGGGGCAGAGACACGAGCTTCCTCACTCACCTTCCAGGTCCTCTCGCCTCTTTCTGACTCCATCCTGGCTGAGAAGACAGTGATCGTCCTGGACGACCGAGTCACCATCGCAGAGCTGGGCGTGCAGCTTGTGGCTGGCATGTCTCTGTCCCTGCAGCCTCACAGAGCAGACAGGAGGGCCATTGTCTCCACGGTGACTGCTCAAGATGTTCTTCAATCCCCACAACAGGTGAGAGTCCCCAGGGCCCTGGGTCCCCGGTCAGTGGAGACAACTTCTCTCAGTTGCTGAATCCTGCATGGCAGGAGAAAACCTACTACATTTCACTCTGTCCAGTCACGTAGAATTGGGAAAAATGCACGTAAAGCTTCTTCACAATGAGGAGGTTTATTCTGTTTGGGTTTGTTTGTGCTCCAGGCCTACCCGGGAGAGCGATGACGAGGAAGATGAGGAGAAGAAGGGGAGAGGATGCTCCCTGCAGTACCAGCATGCCATGGTGCGGGTCCTCACCCAGTTTGTGGCTGAGTTGCCTGACTTGGGACACCTGACCTACATGCTGGGCCCTGACTGGCAGTTTGACATCACTGACCTGGTGACTGAGTTCATGAAGGTGGAGGAGCCGAAAATTGCTCAGTTACAGGATGGGAGGACGCTGGTTGGTCGGGAGCCAGGAATCACCACTGTGCAGGTACAAGCCACCCACTCGTGCTACCTTTGCCTAGCGTCAGTCTGATTGACGCATGTCCAGGTGGATGGAGGTGTGCAGGCATGTGGAGTGTGCACACACATGTATACACAAACACATGTACACGTGCACACACATGTACATGCATAGACGTGTGTGTCAGTCACTGAGATTGTGTGTGTGAAGAAAAGAACCTTGAGAAATGGTAGAACCATTTTTAATAACCTAAACTCATGAACTTTTGGATTTCAGAGTTGAGAAAAATATATAAACCTTTTAAAATAATTTTTAACAAAAGAAAGCTAAACGAAACATTGAGTGGAGACAGTCTTCTCCAGCTGATACTCTGCTTGTCATGTATCACTAGTACAAGGTGGTAGAATCTCTGAAAGCTGGTTCTCCTCCCTTGGATTTGAAGGCTCATGTAGTCGCACTGAGCCCTCCTGCATGACTTGGGGTACTTGCCTCGTCTTAAGGCCACCGTACCACATAGCACCGTAATCATGAGAATGCTCCCTCATCATGTTCATGGCACCAGAGATTGGGGCAAGGAATATTTGGGAGGACTGTTATAAAAGTTCTGCCTTCTACATCCTCCTCTCCATCTCAGTCACCCCTGGTGCACCCTGGGTGGAAAATCAGGAAGAATATCTCCTTAGGACAGCCAGATGCCCTTCCCACTTTGTCTAACTGGTCTACCCAGTGATGATAGCAGCCCATACAGTGGTCACATCAAATCAACATCTAACTGCCCACCAGAAGGAAATGAGCAGAAGATGAGCAATTTAACCACAAAACTGCCATTTCCAAACCCTAAGTATTAATTTTTGGGAAAATGTTACTTTTGAATGTCTTCTATCAAGATGGGCAATTTTTAGTCATTGTTCCTAAATTAAATCAAGTTGTTTTCAGCAACTATGTTGTTATCATCATAGCAGGTATCAAACGGAATAAAATGGACCAATATGATCTTTATGAAACCCTTTAAGTTGTCAAGTGAGGTAGAATGATAGCATAACATTTTCCTACATAACTTCCATCCTTGTGTTCCTTTGTTGGAGAACTGGGACACTTGCTCTGTGGTGGGATGTCAGTGAAGAGGTTAGGGTGGTTACGTGGGGGCAGAGACACGAGCTTCCTCACTCACCTTCCAGGTCCTCTCGCCTCTTTCTGACTCCATCCTGGCTGAGAAGACAGTGATCGTCCTGGACGACCGAGTCACCATCGCAGAGCTGGGCGTGCAGCTTGTGGCTGGCATGTCTCTGTCCCTGCAGCCTCACAGAGCAGACAGGAGGGCCATTGTCTCCACGGTGACTGCTCAAGATGTTCTTCAATCCCCACAACAGGTGAGAGTCCCCAGGGCCCTGGGTCCCCGGTCAGTGGAGACAACTTCTCTCAGTTGCTGAATCCTGCAGGGGAGATCTGTGGGGGCACTCAGCTAGGACTGGTGATTCTTGGAGCGCATTCCTGTTGTGTGTCCAGGCTGTCCTGTCTGGGAATGGTACTCAGTGGCTTATATATGTCTTCCTTTCATGCTCTTTCATTCACTGACCACTTGTCCATATGCCATTTGCCTTCTGTCAGGGTCACCTGTGCTAGGCACAGTCTGGTGCCAGACCATGACCAAAGGACCATGTCTTCACTTTTGCCAAAGCATGTCATTTTTGATACTTGGAAATTCCACCTTAGCTATTTGAAAAAGTGTGGCTAATGGGCACCAAACTGCTACTGTCTGCTAGAATTATTGTGAATTCTAAAACTCTCCTCCATTTTTAAACGTCTGTAGATAGTTTATAGAGATGCCAGGGTTTCTTTCAAGCAAGCCAGCCTAAAATGCATCCTTTACCAGTACTTTTAGTCAGTTTGTGTCCTGCTTCACTGGCACTGGCTTCCTAATAATGAATGTTCAAAGTGATGCATCTTGAGTAGTAGTTTGATTAGTTGCAACTGAAATTGATTCAACTAAATTGCCCAATCTTTCAAATGTTTTTGCAAAGGTCAAAGTCAAATTGCGTTGTGTGCATGCACTACATTAATTTATACCTTAATGCATCTATTGAAGTATATTATTTGTATAATATGTTGAAGTATAGTATTTGTTCATATCAGTAAGGCCATAGCACATTATTGACACAAGTTAAAGACATGACAAGAACTGTTCAAGGTTATAAGACATAGAACTTAATTTTTCTCTGTACATTTAAAGGATATAGGAACTTGTATTTAGTTTACAAATTTGAAGAAATCTGACTATAACATAATGCTTTGGTTTCATTTTCCTTAGGAAGCAATAGTCAGTTCTTGGATTTTGTTCAGTGATGGTTCGGTGACACCTTTAGACATTTACGATCCTAAGGATTTTTCGGTTACAGTCTCATCGTTGGATGAAATGGTGGTGTCTGTCCAGGCAAACCTTGAGTCCAAATGGCCAGTGGTGGTTGCAGAAGGTGAAGGCCAAGGGCCCTTGATGAAGTTAGAGATGATGATTAGTGAACCTTGCCAGAAGACCAAGAGGAAGAGTGTTCTTGCTGTGGGTAAAGGAAATGTCAAGGTCAAATTTGAGCCAGGTATTGATGAGCATCAAGGAGGCACCAACGACATTGAGGGCATCAATCGGGAATATAAAGACCACCTGAGCAATTCCATAGAGCGTGAAGGAAACCAGGAGAGGGCTGTTCAGGAGTGGTTCCAACATGGCGCTTCTGTTGGCCAAGAGGAAAGCACCAACAGAAGCACAACCCCGCAGTCTCCCATGGAAGGAAAGGGTAAGAAGCTACTCAAAAGCGGTGGTCCAGACACCTTCACAAGCTTCCCTACTCAGGGGAAGTTACCAGAACCCAATAATCCTAGTGACCTTACAATGACCTCTAGGGGGTTAACGGACTTGGAGATTGGCATGTATGCCCTGCTCTGTGTCTTCTGCCTGGCCATTCTGGTCTTCTTAATCAACTGTGTGGCGTTTGCTTGGAAATACAGACACAAGAGGTTTGCCGTGAGCGAGCAAGGCAACATCCCCCATTCCCATGACTGGGTCTGGCTGGGGAATGAGGTGGAGCTTTTGGAGAACCCTGTTGACATTACACTCCCCTCAGAGGAGTGCACCACCATGATAGACAGGGGGCTGCAGTTCGAGGAGAGGAACTTCCTTCTGAATGGCAGCTCCCAGAAGACTTTTCACAGTCAGCTACTCAGACCTTCTGACTATGTCTACGAAAAAGAAATAAAAAATGAACCTATAAATTCTGTGGGCCCAAAGCGGAAGAGAGTCAAGTTTACTTCCTACACCACCATCCTTCCAGAGGACGGAGGCCCATACACCAACTCCATCCTGTTTGACAGTGATGATAACATCAAGTGGGTCTGCCAAGATATGGGACTGGGGCACTCCCAGGACTTTAGAGACTATATGGAAAGACTGCAAGACCAGATGTAAACGCCTTTCTTATGTTTGTATTCACCTTTATGCCTTCTGTTTTTTGAACGGTGGAGCAGTGAGTTTGATCAGCAATAGGGGATGATTTAACAGCGTATAATTTGTGGAGGTCTGGTGGGATCCCTTTCTAGGAGGTACCAAAATTCTGGAGAGCTATAGCAGGTGGGGGTTAATCCAGAAATGCCTCTTAAACAACCACATCTAGGGACTTCAGAAATCCTAAGACAACAGTGTTATCTACTGCCTGATTTGCTAGCTCAGTGCAAATATAATCGACCTGACCCCACGGACATTGTTAGTCATCTCGTGAAAAATGGCCATGCGGAATTAGGAAAGATTTGGGTGTTGATTTTTCTATTCCTAGACCTTTTAAAGCACAGTGGACACTTATTGCCCCTGGCCTGAGTTTAGACATACGTGAAAGATGACTGAATGTAGCTATCCTTGTTTGTTACGAGCGCCGCTCATTATTTTTATATACATTTACAGCTGCATCTGTTCATTTAACCTCTGGAATTCTTTTTGAAACAAGAAGAGAAGAAATTTCGGTCTTTCCTTTGAGATCTGTTTGATTTACACATGAGTTTCATTCCCTGGGATTTGCCATGTCGTGTTATTTCTTGGATCTCTGTTTAGGATGCCAGATTTTCCCAGTTTTCTGCACTTCATTGTTTAAAGACAGTATCTAAGAAGCTTATTCTCAGTTTGTTTTACTTCTTTTTGTTATTGAACTTTCTTCTGTAAGACTGGGACGAGGGGTTTTACTTAAAATATTAATATTCTGTGAGGGAGGGCCATCTCTTTACAATTTTCTATATGAAGCTTAAAACATTGTCCATAACAAGTGTTTATTTTTATCTTCTGCCTGCTGAAAATTTATGGGGAACTCCTGGAGTGCATTTCTGAGGGCCGAAGACCCCACCCTAGCTGTATTTATGCAAGTGTTTTAGAGTCGACATGGTTTATTATGCAAACTGAAATCTAAAAATAGAATTGATCTATGCAGGGAAGAAATTGCCTAGGAAATGAGTTATAGATTAAACTGGCCATTTTCCAGAACAAAACATTATGAAAACAGTAATAGAATGGTGTGTCAACTTAGCAATATTTAGGAACCTGTGTGTACAATTACCCCTCCCTCACAGTTCTCAATTACGACTCTGCACAGGTGAGACCCTCTCAGGGTGTGCACTGATGGAGAGAAGCAATTCGCCCCCCAAAAGTTCATAAAAATTAATGACTGTTTCATAGCTTAAGAAATAGCCGTTATAAAAAAACCCCACAGCTATTAAAAAGAAGTGATGAGAGACAAAACAACAAACAAAAAGCAAAAAAAAAAATGATTCCTGCATAATTTGTAAACAAAAATATTATTTCAAGAACAATGTGAATGGTCTCAAGCAAAGCAAGAATTTCAGATTACAAAATGTGGCCTTTTCACTTATTAGAGTGATATGGTTGGGAAAACAGATGTGGGCTACTATGCTTTATTATGCATTTCAGTTTTCCATGTGCATCCCTGAGAGATTGAATCTTAAAGACCCAAAGTGGGAAGGACCTATGAAAGGTCACTGGAAGCAGCTCTCTGACTCCAAAAGGCCAATGACTGAGCTATATTCAAAGAGAGGTGTTCACCTGTTTTCTTAGTATAGATTCCTGTGGATGGGAACATGAAAACCCAGGCTCCTCTAGCTGTGAAATGGCAGCCAAAAAAAGTTCTTCCTGTATGGCTTGCCCACAAGACTGCCATGTATCTGTGAATGGTGCTAAAGTCATGGGGGACATAGACCTGAGTGCCAGAAGCCAGTGTTCAGTTGGTGCTGTAAGTGTTCAAACTGGGTCTTAGGAATGGAAGCTAATGAAGTTCCATGGATCTTTCAGTTTGACTGGAGAAGGAAGCCAGGAGACCCAGGCATTCATTGGAGAAGGAGTTTGCAAGGAGATAGCTGACACGTTACAGGAAGACCTTCTCAGTTAGCCAAAAGCTTCAAAGAGTTTGATGCAGAGGTATCCCCAAACCAACCGTGCAGGACCAAAGGAAAGCTCATGCACTAATTGATGCAACCATCCAGCTGAGTCTGGCTCCTTCTAAGGGGACATTTCCAGTTCTCTCTCCCTTTGGATCTTCAACCTTCTAAAAATAACAGGAATTCATGTCTGAAAATGAGGAACCTCGATGAAACAGGGAGAATCTCTCTCACATACATAGTAGGTTGGCTCCTGCTGCTAACATGAGACTTTGGGTAGGGGTACATTTTGGAGGGAACAAAGGAAATTAGCCTTGCTGTGCAGTAGAGGGTTCTATTAAGAAGCATTGATACCAGAGCATTCCCTGTGACAGGTAGGCTTAGCTGGGTGCAGGGGGCAAACTGGGGCATGTTCAACTGGGCCAGGGTGTCTCCACAGAGCTGGTGACTGACCACAGTCTTAAAGATGCTTCTCGTGCATAACTAGAGTCCCCCAGAGTGTTACGGCCTCTGTACAGTCACCTTTGTTCGTTTGCTTTTTTTGTGTTAAAACTCAAGTCATTCAAAACAGAAATCAAATGAAAGGTCATGGGGGAAGAGTCCCTTTACCATATGACATACATGCATATGTATATGAACGTATATACATACTCCTACAAATATCCACGTGTGCGTGTGTGTGTGTGTGTGTGTGTGTGCACGTGAATACCGAAGAGCCAGAATTAGCTGCTGAGTGAGATTCTACAGTGACTGTCAGTTGTTCTCAGATTTGACATGGACACTATTCAGCGTAACAGAATTTCATCATTTTCTGTTCTAAACATTTCCTGCAGATTATACACCATGGGTTGTATCATCTTGTTTTCCAACTTGTTATTGTAAAACTATTGGGCACTATGCCTTGGAATATCTAAACTAAAATGGGAGAAAATGGCACAAACTATTAAGCCTTCTGATCAAATGTCCTGGGGGCCATGCATCTGCCAGATTTCCCAGGAGTTTATGAGGAAGGAATCCAAATGATCAGTCTTGATGAATAATCCGAACCAAGCAACCTGCACTCAGTCCTTTCTTTCTTATGAGAATAAATGCTGAGACGCTTCTTGAGGGTGACACAAGCATTTCTCTTGAGAGGGCAGCAGACTGTGAGCTCCATGCTCCCCTGGAGGGAAGTTCAGGGCCCGGGACAGTTGAGGAGGTGCAACTGCTGTCTCCAGGCTCCAGATGTGCTGCTTTGGTGGCCAGGATTCAGAAATCAAGAAACAGCTGCCCTGCCAAAGAGCTGGTGTTAACACACACAGGCGTGTTGCATTTGAGAGAAAACAAGGAGAGAAGACAAATGGAAGGTACTATCCCAGAAGACAATCGAGCAAACCTCTGAATACACCCTGTGCACCGAGAGAAGGAATCCCCACCTCCGAGCTCTTTCATGTTGCACGCTGGCCACGGGAGCTTCCCAGACTGTGCTAACTCTTACTCTCTAAATATAAAGTTTCTGTTAATGCAGGAGAAAAAAAAGTGGATTAATTTTTGTCCTAGTGCCACCTGTCCTAGTGCCATCTGTCCCTTGCTGATTTTGATGCTTCAGAAAGTCCACTTTTGTGCATTTTGCTCCAGAATTTTTGTTTCCCTGTTTAGGAGAAGGGTCTTTCCGAGGCTGGGATGTTGACATCACAGGAAAATCTCAGTCTGTCAGAGAAGAACCATTCAGTCTGAGGACCGCACAGGGAGCTTTCCCCCGAATCCCGTATGTCATCAGCCCTGCTGCGTTTGCTACTTGACTCTTCTAGAAAACGGCCTCGGTTTTCCATTGCAGTCTCTGTAAATGATACAATAGACAGTTTATGAGCTCTGAAACCCTCTCCTCTGTTCAAATGATCTGTGTATAATGTGGTGCATATCACTGTTATGTAAAGGGACAGTGCGGATGGTGGGAAAGTTATGCTAAAATATGGGCAACAGATATTTTTGTATGTAATGTAGGCACTATGCTAAACACTGAGAGGTGTATTGGAATAAATACAGTTTAAAATAAAAGTTTGCAGAAGTATAGCTTTTAAATGTACAGACACCCCACTCAAAAGTGTCTAAACCGATAGTGGGAAAAACACTGGGCCCTATCATTCTAGAATACACCAAATTAGGAATTCTGTCTGGAAAGGACATGACTCATGTTGGGATATTTGATGGAACCTGCTGGAACATTTCGATCTTACTCCTCTTTACTTTTGGATCTTTCTTTTCTTCTTTTTTTTTTGGTTCAGAAGTAAAGTGACTTTATTTTCCAACATAAAGGTATATTCTAACCACAGGGTAACCCATCATTTTTAATGTGAAAATAAACAGTTAAACATTCTTCCCTTGTTTTATTATTATATCTATATATTTCCTTTTTTGATTTATGCATTTGTGTGATTGGCTGTATTTATAGGTACGTTTTTCTTTTCAGTCAAAGACTTTAACCCTCTTCACGCAGGAACAGATGGACAAGAAAAGAAGATGTCCTCTGACAAGTTGCAAACAATGTATACTTTTTAAAAAACTTCTCATTTGTCCTTCTAGCAGGCTGGGGAAAACTTCTATCCAGATGTCTCAGAAAGAGGATTCATGATTTTCACTTCTTCGTCCAGGGTCAAACCATCTGAAACTCAGTGCTGAAATGCTGAAGTGAGTGTTTGATAACCTTTGGCCTCTGTCCCCCTTTTTGACTTCTCAATGACATGGTTCTGCACATGGGTCTCAGGTGGGGACTTGGAGTGCTCAGGGCCTAGAACAGGCAGAGCTCTATAGATAAGAGAAAAACCCAGAACGGTTCAGATCTCTGCTTGGAAGGCCATTGTAGATGTTTTAGCTGATCGCCTGGGGGGTACCTTGGCTAGGTCCCCCACGGGCTCTCTGTTGGTGAGTGTGCATTTCTTGAAACTGCCCCTGTCATTGATGACCTTTGACAGATGCCGCCTCTTGTTTTTAGCTGTGCTGGGATGTCTCTTTGACAATAACTTGGCATGTCCTAATAAATCCATGCCAAGCCTGGTCTTTTCTGGACCCCACAAAATCATTTATGTAGCTGGGTATAAATATGGGAGTTGGCTTTGAAAAACTGAGGCTACTGAGTAGCAGGCTTTCCTGCCTCTACACTGTCGGCAGAGAATGCAGAAAGGTGCTCTCCCAGGTGTACAGACTCATCCCATCAGCATTGCCGTCAGCATTGTTTCTCAGCACTTTGGGCAAACGTTTTCCACTGACAACCTCCTCTTCTCCTTGGAGCATCAAAGACTAGGCACCCTGCAGCTTTCCCCCCCATCTCCGTGTGAATGTATACAGTTTAGTAAGAACTGTTTCCAAGAACAAGGAAAAAAGAAAGTTTGAAATGGTATCTGTGGAGGAATTAATCTTTATTTAGAATGTGTGTGTGCAAAGTGCAAACACTGCATTTTAAGATTTCGGTATTGAAATTCTAAATGCCTGTTAATTTCTGTGTGGTTTTATACAATTTAGTTAGGCTATAGAGTTTGTTGTTGTTTGCTTTCAGAAATGTTTAAAATAAAAAAAAAAAAAAAAAAAAGAGAGAGAGAAACATTCTTGCCTGGGTTACGGAGTTTATAGACTATTCTATGGGTTAAGTTGAGCAGGACCTTGTCACTTTCCAGATGGGAAATAACGATTCTAGTCCATTAGGGAAATTCTCTTCCCAGTCCAAGAAAGCAATAATGTTATCAACTCATGGTACCGGACAATCTTCATACTCTATGAGATGCCTTCAAATGTCTTTGGGTTTAATTGCTGCTCTTGTTCAGTTGTCCAGGTGAAACATTGTGATTTTACATTAAGGATCAAAATCTCTCTAGAAACTTACTGCAGAAACCGAGAGGAAGAAACGTTTTTTACTTCCTCTGCCCATGGGGATAAAGCCCTTTATGGAGAGATGGAAGCTGCTTTGGAATTTGGGTCTATGGAATGCTGAATTTTCTACCCATTTGAAGTATTTCTTCTTTGGGATGGCATAAATCTCTTTTGACCTGACACTTCTCTTCCTTTGGCCAAAAGAGCACATGAAATTCCCTGTTTTCCACAGTAAGGTTGGACCGGCGTAGTCTGACATTTTTCTCTTACCTCTTCTCTAGGAAGCCCATTCACTGAATGAAATGACACACAGGGCAAGTGTGGACACTGCCCACAGGATGTAGTTACTTCGCTTAGAGAGGCTTCCTTGAAGAGGGTGCTCCCCCACCACCATAATCACTTCAGGCTCCTCACTGTATCCATGTATATTTCCACATAGTCTAAGCACTCTCCCCTCCCGTGAACACTGCAGGCTGACAAAGAGCACACAACTGCCATTGATAAGCACACCCCTCCAGGCACTCAGCACTCTCGTTTTATTCTTCTGGTTGGTGCCACTCTACTGGGGACCAATCTGTACATGTGTGTCAAACCCTGTCTCACCTCAGTTGCTCTGGGGCAGTGAATTTTCCCATAGCCACCAGTTCAGATGCCAGGATATCCCAGGACTGGCAGGTGGATGGTCTAGAGTGCTTCCTCTTAGCACAGGCCACCCAGTGTCACCCTGTCTGTAGCTTCCAGCAAGAGCCTTATTTTGGACTTTGAGCAAGGGCATCTATGTAAATGCAATGTGGATTCTAAGAACAAACCCGTTACCCACCCTTCATCACAAGTGGTATTCTAGGCACTGTGGGTTTAAGCAAATGGTAAAGCTATGAAAGGCAGGAGTGGAGAGTGGAGATTTAAGTAACAAAGAAAAGATCCAACCCAGGAGAAAGGACGTGGCTATCAAACACTGAGTATCAGACGACAGATCCATGCTCTGGCGGTGGTCACATGTGTCTTCCCATGGCAGACAATTTTCAGTACTGCTTCTCCATCACACATGTCTAAGGAGCAGGTGTTGTCTCCAAGTTTTAAACTCATTGTCTTAGCCATTGGTGCCCAGCCTCAGACCCTTCTCAGGCAGGTGGATATAATCTTCACTGCAAAACATAATTGGGGTCCAAACCCACTCTACGCGGCCATTGTGCACTTCCGAGTGGTTTCAGGGCAGCTCACAGTGGGAACCAATTTTGTCTAGCAGGTGAAAATAAAAAATGTGACCCATTACTTTCCACTTTTCTGAATTGGACTCTGGTTCCCTGGTAAATACCAGGTATTATAAACAAAGCATGCTGTTATAACATTGTGCTTCTCTATGCTTTTTCTGGTTGTGTAATGTGTGTATCTCGTTAGAGGACCCATGGTTTTCAGTGTGATCTGCTATATATGTTCCACAGTATATTCAACATATCTGTAAAGGTACTTTCAAACATTTTGAATATGAAGAAATAAAACATGTTGGCTGATTCCTTGTTATAGTAGAACAATTAATTGGTAGGCTCCAGGAAATCATCTTTTCTTCAAATCGGTGTTCAAAGGAGGGATCTTAAGACATCTTGAGATCCAGAGTAGGGGCAGCTATGTCTTCAGGGTTGTGATGACAGTTACTAGCTGAGACCGTCAGAATCAGAGAAAAGAATGGCTGATCTAAGTTCGAGGGCAAGACTCCAAGAGAAACGGGCTTCAGTGTGTTGGTAAACCATGATGTTGAACACAGTATACCATGTCACTAACCTTCCCTCCAGTAGTAAAGAACCTTTCAGAAAGAGGACAGTAATGGCCCAGGAGTGTCTATAGCTAAGGCACGAAAACTCAAATTTTGTTGAAGGCCAATAAAGTTCATTTTTTTTTAAAGTTTACAAAGTTGAATTTTAATGAAAGAAAAAGTTTTATTCAAATGTATTCCTACTAGACAGGAATAAGTCAATCTTATTTATAAAATTTGAGTCACAGGAAATCTTGTTTGGACACTAAAAATTCCAGCTGATTCTCATAGTCTTGCGATGTGTTACATTTAACTACAGAATAACTGAAGTATTTCCATTCGTCAGGTCTCCACTGCTCTGCAAATTCTAACCAGATGAAGGCTCCTCACCACAACGCTACACTCCTGCCCTCTACAGATGGTGGAGTCCAGTAGTTCTGTGGTGTAGTGAGCCAGAGGATGACTAACCCTGTGTTGAAATTCAGCTGTAGAAAAGGAAATGCCCTCTCAAGGTAGTGTGAGGTTGGTTGTCTCAGACAATTGTAGCAACCTTGAGTGAACACCTGTGTTGGGTATGTGGCATCTTCCCCACCAACGGTGTGACCATCACTAATCTACACATAAAGAAGTGTTTAAAGAAAACCCTTCCCCAAACCAGCAGATGACATAATGGTTATATCGCTGTATTCCCACATGGCCGACTGCAGTTTGAGTCCTGGACCTAGCGCCTTGAAACTCACACTAGGCATGTGTATGTGCATGCCCAAACTCCCAAGAGAATGGAGGAGAGGGGATTGCAGCGTGGCCATCCCCCCCATGGGTGTATGTTTGTGTGTGATTTCTTGCTTTCTGTTTCTGTCTCTCTAGCGAGTGCACTCACCCTATACCAAAAATCTCTCTCTAAAAACAAAACAAAAATCCTCCCTTCATGCAAAGGGTAATGGGGACATGTTTTGTGCCTTGACTGTGCTTTAAACAATGAGATGGAGCAGAGTTCAAGAAGGCAGGATCTCTAAGATGTTTGAGGCTGAGGCGGAGCAGCTTACCGGCAGGCGAGTGTCTGCAAGAGGTGTGACTCAAACCTGGCCTGCCTGCGTGTAACAGAGAATCCTGCTCCTTGCCTCAGTTCCCCATGGGTCAATGATGTTGGAAATTGATCTTTTGGTATTAAAAAAATGTTAATGACTTTTTCTTTGAAAATAACTAGCATAAATTTGTGCATTGTGTACACAGATATTCTTGTTCTAATCCATTAAGATTAATAGCAGAAAATATGGAAATGAACATCCCCTAATGGTACCCCCCCCAGCACAGGGGAGCTTGTCTGTCTAATATTTCTTTCTAATTTTCCCCCAATTCAAGGCCACCTATGACCCAGGAGTTTCCCAGTGCCCTTTGGGGTAGGAATTGTACATTTGGATTTTTACAGGTTGGGGTGTCTGTTAACTGCACGAATAGTGTCCTTTTCTACATTGAGAAGGTGGTCAGAGCTGAAGGAGGTAAAAGATGAAATGGAGACTGATAACCAATGTGGGGAGCTTCCCTGTCACTCTGTATGGAGCAGATGTACACTTGGGAGAACTCCTTCTTGCTCATCGGGAAATGCTAACCCTAATGCTCACTTGGGAAGAACAAGTAAATAACTACTGTAACCTGAGGCTCTCCACAACAGGAAGGTATCAGGACCTGACCCTTTTCTTCTCCGCAGGAAGGCT